TCTAGGAAAGATTCCTTTACTATTGAGATAAATAAATTTTTAAAAAAGGTGAAAGAAAAGTTCCTAGATTAGATAACAAAAAAAGCAGTCTTTAAGCTGGGACTGTTAAACCAAGTGATTGAGAACAGCTGAGGATAAAGTGTTCTAGGTGCTACAAACACAAGGAAAGGAGAGGTTATAATGTTCAGAATGGGAAGGTTGAATTCAGGCCAAAATTTCCTTAAACAAGACAAACAAGACCCCCTTATATGCTAAAGGATAAACTTTACATGGAAAATACAATCATTAGAGTATCTAAACATTAAAATATAACATCAACCCTCATAAGGCAAAAGCAAGAGATAGGATGAGAAAAAGTGAAAATATATTGGTGGTAAAATACTTTAACTCATTTTATAGTTGTTGATAGCTTACATAGGACAGTAGGTAAAAATAGATCCTCTAAAGTAAATTGAATTAATATATATGTAGTTGGGCTCTGTATCCTGCAAAAAAGCCAAACCAAAACAGAAACTATTCTTTTGCATATCTGTGGACTCTTCACAAAACCCAACCATGTATTGAGATTAAGCCCAAAAGGAAAAGCTTTTAGTTGCCATGATAAAAGTAATACAAGATAGGGGTAGGGAATTAAGAGTACAAACTACTATGTAGTTATTTATTTATAAAATAAATAAGCTACAAAGATACATTGTAGAGCACAGGGAATATATCCAATATTTTATAATAACTATAAATGTAGTATAATCTTTAAATTGTGAATCACAATGTTGTACACCTAAAATTTATATAATATTGTAAATCAACTCTACCTCAGTAAAAAAAACTATTAACTGCCGAGATAAAAATAATACAGAGAAATGTCTCTGATCACAAAAATTTTATAAATTAATAACAAATTTAGAAAACACAAAAAGTCCCTGCCATCTGTATGTTGAAAAATTTGCTCTTTAACAAATTATTTTATTAAAGGGGAAATTCAAAATAAAATTTCTATGTGGAGAAAAAGACAATGAAAAAATCTTCTATTATAACTTATAGAATATAGTTAAAATAGCCCTTGGAAGAAAATTTATAACTCTAAATATGTTTAATGAATAAGAGAAGAAAAATAAATCAATTAAGTATTCAATTTGGAAAATTAAAGAACAGTAAGATCTCCTGCTCATAAGAAAAGTAAAAGAAAGGAACTGATGAGAATTGACAAAAATAACTGTAAAACAGAAAAGCTGTAGAAATCATACATAAAAAATATGTTTTTGAAAAAAGTGTGTAAAATAGTAACAGTGTAGTAACACTATTACAGTGTAACAATACTTACAAAATTCTGAAGGAAATTATTTTGCAACTTAGAATTTTGGACTTAATTTTAAAAATTAAATGATTTAATCCAAAAAATTTAAATGATTTAGTCCAAAAAATTATGCAAGGACAGAACAAAATTTTCAACATGCAAGGTGTCAAAAATTGGCTTCCCAAATTCCATTTTCCCAGGAAGCTCCTGTAAGTCCCAGTGAATGAGAAGAAACATGGAAAAGAAAACACATGGGCTACTGGAAACAGATCAAACACAAGAGAAAAGCAAAGCAAATTCCCAGGACGAAGGTAAAAAGAATCGCAGGATAACAACCTACACAAAGCATAGAAGACAAGCAGCACAGATTGGAAAACCTGCCTCCAGTGACATACCTGTAGAGGCTGTCACCACCAACGGTCCTTTCTGCTTTGTACAGTCCTGACCACAGACAGTGCTCAAGTGAGCTTGTCCAAAATTCTTAGCTGTCTTTGGCCTGGGCAAATGCTAATAAAATTCTGCTCTCTCCTCCCTGCCCAGCTGCCTGGAATAGCTGATACCATCTGACCCTACAGAAGTGTTCAGGTTTGACCAACTCCTGAGAGATGGAGGTTAGCCCAGAGAGCTTAGAAGCGTAGAACACAGAGCAGCACACCCTCTTCAAACTTTTCCCTCTGGATTGGTTAGACCTTGGTTAGATTGCTCCCTGTAAGGAACTCTTGGATTCCCCTGGATCACTACAGGCTGCCTCCTGACATTTTCTCACAATGGATTCTTGAACCTTCCGAGAAAAATGATACAAATGAACTTATATACAAAAGAGAAACAGACCCACAGACATAGAAAACAAACTCATGGTTACCAAAGGGAAAAGGTAGGGGGAGGGATAAATTAGGAGTTTGACATTAACATATACACACTACTGTATATAAAAGAGATAAACAGCTAGGACCTACTATATAGCACAGGGAAGTATACTCAGTATTTTGTAATAACCTATAACGGAAAAGAATCTGAAAAAAATAGATATATGTATGTATAACTGAATCACTTTTCTGTCTACCCAAACTAACACAATATTGTATATCAACTATACTTCAATAAAGATAAATAAATACATTTAAAAAAAACATTCAAGGAAAACAAAAAACGCTGAAGCCAGACTATAAACCAGAGACTGTTCAGATCCTCTTCCTAGGCACTGTCAACTATCAATAACAATGCTGTCTTTTTCTTACACAGCTAGTCTTTGTGCTTACTACTCAATTTTCATATTAATCCTTTTCCACACTGATTAATTAGTTGTTGATAAAATAATGAAATGGTTGATTGAGAAATAAAACACAATTAGAATATATTTTAATCTAAAAGCGATCTTTAGTGGGCAAATACTACAACCCTTCCATTAAATTTCACATTAACGTGACTATTATTTAATAATAATAATGTTAGAGGCAATAGCCAATGGGATTAGACAAAAGAAAATCCTGAAAAGTATAAAAACTGGCAAAGAGGAGATAAATTTATGACTGTGTTAGGTGATTTAATTAATATTTTAGGTGATATACCTGGGACTTCCAAGAGAATCACTGAATGATGATTACCATCAGTGAGATAACTCAGTAATGTGTGTTATAGGGAATCCATAGCTTTCATGTACTGATATAGAAATGTTCCAAAATGGTAATCAAATGGGAAAAAAAAAAACTCAAACAAATAAGATGCAGAACACTGTGTATAGGATGCTTTCTTTTTAATAAGTGTATGTTTGTAGTCTGTGTGTGTGAAATGAGAATGTACATTTGTAATTGCTTGATATATAAAATAAACACTTGAAGCACAAACAAGAAACTAATAAAATAAAACACATTTAGTCACATTTTCAAGGTACATAAGGTTAAAACCCCTCATTTTCACAAACTTAAAAACCCTAGAATTTAATTTTCTAACCTGCTTAAAATTTTCCAAAAGTTTTTTAAAGTATGTTGTTTTTTTTTGTTTTTTTTTTTTTTTCTTGCGTTATGCGGGCCTCTCACTGTTGTGGCCTCTCCC